GAGGGGACAGCCCGATCGTACCGTGGTAGTATTCGTTCGAGACTTAGAACATGTAACATATGGCTCCTAGGCTGTCAAGCTTGAGGGAGTCGAAGGTGGAGATATAGTCGGCAAGTGAGACATCATAGGCCGAAGCGTTAGGGAATAGCATGCATCGGCTCGGGAGGTTTACGGTATAGGCGTCATCACTGCTTGGTTGGGGGGTGGGGGGGTTTCGAATTCACACCGGTAACCTTCTCAAACGCACGCACAACCCTAATTATCTCACTAATAGCCTTTGACTCGCCTGAGCTTTGATGCTGCTATCCGTACGTCGTGTGGAAAAGGAGGGGAAAGAAAAGGATAAAGCGGGGAGAGGTCCCCGACAGGCTAAAGGGGGAAAAAAAGGGGAAGAGAGAGAGAGGAGGAGATCATGCGTGCGCAGCTTGGCTAGTGCTGGGGGTGAAGCTGTATGGCCCGTCAGCTGACAATGGCTTTCAGACTCACTGGTGGCGTCCTTAGCCCTCGTAGGGAGTATCGTTTCGTTCCTAGCAACCTCGAGCGCTTTAATCTTGATTGGTCTTCACCATACTCGACGCCGGTCTCTACTACACACCCTCGTCCTTAACCTCATGGTTGCTGGTAAGGTGTTCTCCTATCAAACGTCAATGTTAAGCGGGATGAGACACTAACCAAGACGACCATCAACGCAAAGAAGTCATTAACTCAGCTAATAACACTATATCGCGGGGATCATCTACGTTAGGGACCAGGAATTAACAAACGCGGAAATAGCGTGCGTCTTGAACGGCGTGTTTAGTCAGCTCTCAACGCAAGCATCCGACTTCTCCATCCTCGCCATCGCTATAGCCACGCTTCTGGTGATATGGCAGAGAACAAGTATGGCGGACAGCTCATCACTTAAGAGATTCTCAATCTGCTGCTGCGTATGGCTTATTCCGATTACTACTAGTGCCTTGGCTGCTAGGATCGGTGTGATAGAGCCACTGGCGGGAACTGCTGCTGGATTGCGCGGGACCGGCCCAACCTCGACTTGGCCTCACCTATGTCTGGCGTCTGTGGATCATATCCACTACCGTTTGCATCTACACTTTCGTCGGGTGCTATCTCAGCCAACGTCCTCGCCCCGCCGCTAGTACGTCCTGGCTTTCGTGCGATTACCGGATCACTAACAGTACGCCCGACGACAATGGCCATACTCGAGCCACGAGGAAGAAACTTCCCACCAACCAGGCTTATGTGGGGTACGCCTATGAGGTGCTTGCAAGACAGCCGGGCAAAACGTACGAAGTGTTCCCTTTCCCGCGCCTCAGAGTACGCTCTACTAGGTATTTAGGAGAATCGGATAGCAGATGCGGCAGTGCTGCTGATGATCAAAGTGGGCAGCAAGCTGGGCCGTTGGCTCCGCGTGCTCCTTCCGCGGCCAGAGTCCACAAGGAAAAGAAGCCACACACGACGGTACGCTCGGAGACGTCGCGGCAGAACGAAACCAGTCCGGATACGAGCCAGGTATTCGGACCGAGGGGGGCGGGCATTGGTCGATTAGGCACCAGGGAGCAACAAACACACGTTAGGGCATTAGGTGAACGACGTCCTCTACAAACTACACAGGCACTTACAGCAACGCTTCTTCAGAGAGTCAGGGACTGCTCAGATTTCACCAACGGAGAAGATACTGCGGAATATAACAGCGGAGGTGGGACTGCAAGCCAGTCATGTATTCCTCAACCGTGGGGGAGCTTCCCGCCTCCTGGAGTACAGATGGAACCCCAGCAGAGACACCACCGTCGCAAAAGACGGTGTATCGTCAAACGTCACGGCTGCAATGATGGCTAATCTTTCTACCAAAAAGCAGACCCAGACGTCAGAGCGGCGCATTAAGCGCATGATACTGCTGAAATCCTGTCCTATCTTATACATAATTCTCTGGATGCCCAGCCTGTTGAGCGGAATCATAGAGACTTCTGAAGCTAAGACGTTTAGCTCGGTATCAGCAGCGCTGCAAGTCTCCAGCCAGTTTGTTGGTCTTGCTAATGCAGTGACGTACTGCTTCCATGAGAGCGTAGCGTGTATATCATGAGATTGTAAAAGTTATTGATCGCATCAAAGGCTGTAAGCATAATGGTTCTTTCTTTCTTCTTTCCCCCTCCACTCCCCTGGCTGATTTGCTTTCGCGGTTTCCTAATCTACCTTACTAACCAAGCAACCAACCAACCAAGCCACCAGCCAACCAGCCAACCAATTGACCAAGCCCTCACCATTCTCTCAACAGAAAGAAAAGAAAAGAAAAGAAAAACGGAAGAGTCGTTACAACTACGTGGGGTTGGTTAATATGTGCATAATTTACTTGTTCTTCGTTTTAATATTGAACCTCTCATATGCTTTTGCCCCCTTTACCTTCCTCTGTATGTGGCCGGCTTGATTCTCATGATAGGTCAGTATTAATATCTTGGGTGTCTATGATTAAAGCAAGTGTCTGTCTATGCTCTCTATCATAAGTTAAAGAGATGAAGAGAGTAGTCAAGTACACTAAGGACTTAGCACGTGAAGCCATAGTGGCCTTGGATAACTCTAGTACCGCATCGAATGAGTATATGAGGTGATTTAGCTATGGATAGTCTCTCTAATTATGTCTACTGCTCCCCTTAGTATTATTGCCTTATACTTAACTTATTTTCAAGAAGAAATAGGGCGCTTACCACAGCGAGACCAGATGCTAACGCTAACAGAATCCAGCTCTTCGTAGTAAATACTAGCAGCTTCGAGGTAATGGAAAGATGCCTCCAAGCACCCTCAGTGTTACGCCCACACCTACACCCAGGGGCTGACCACGAAGCCATCACAACAACTATCCCTATGAGTAGGGCCCAGGAACAGGGACGCCAGGATAACCAGCTCTCAGTCCCGGAGTCAGCCCTACCACGGCTGATCGACCTAGTAAAGGCTGGGGCTACAGCCTTACCTACTCTAGGGGAACTGCCCAACCCAGCAGAGCTGGACACCCTAGCTGCCCAACTGGTCAGCCTCTTCCATACAGCTATTCAAGCTGTAGGCAAGAGACGGACTAATCAGGGTAGGGGAGCCCCCTGGTGGACAGAAGAATGCTCAGTAGCCCACCAAGCTGCTATTAAGGCTAGGCGCCAACAGGCCCAAGAACCTGGGCTGGTCATACCTCCCCCTATCCTAGAGGAGCAAAAAGTCTTCCTAACAACTGTGAGAAGGGCGAAACGCACCTACTGGACTGCTAAGATCGAAGAGGCTAAGACAGACCAAGACCTATATAAAATTATAGGCTGGCGGAAGTCTAGCCTAGCAGTTAAAGCTCCGCCTCTAATAGTGGAAGGGCAGACGATCAGCAATACCCACGATAAAGCCCAAGCCTTGCGAAAGGCTCTACTTGAGCGATTTAGTGCTACAGACGACCTATCTGGGAACCCTTTTAGTACCCCAGTGGTTGTAAGTCGTATTATACCCTGGCAGAATACAGTTAGCATAGAGGAAGTACGCCAGGCTACTCTGACAAAAGCTACAACCCCTGGGACTGATAGGATTACTACAAAGTTGCTACAATGCACCTGGGGATTAGTAGCCAAGCCTATACAACAGCTCTTCCAGGCCTGCGTTCAAGTAGGCTATTTTCCTAGACCCTTCCGCAATGCGGAAATTGTCATGACCCAGAAGCCAGGGAAAACAGATTTCTCTAAGACTGGGTCTTGGCGCCCAATATCCCTGCTGTCCTGCTTAGGCAAAGGCTTAGAGCGGCTGATAGCAAAGAGGATGGCCTACCTTACTATCCTAGAAGGGGTTGCCAGCCCACAGCAGGTTGGAGCCCTACCAGGGAGGGCTGCAGTCAACCTGACAACCTGTCTAACCCATGAGATTGAGAGGGCTCTAGATACAGGGCTTACTGCGACGCTAGCAACAATGGACGTCAAGGGGGCGTTTGATTCCGTCTTACGAAACCGACTTATTGTCAGGCTACGACAGCAGGGCTGGCCTAGTAGCCTGATCAGACTGATCTACACCTTCACCTCTAGCCGAACAGCCTGCGTCAGGCTAGAGGATACTACTACAGAGGACTTCCCTCTATCCTGTGGACTACCGCAAGGCTCTCCACTATCCCCTATCCTCTTCCTGCTCTATATAGCTGATATCCTAGCTGATGATCGGAAGCTACGGTTTGGCTATGCAGATGATATAGGCTTAGTAGCTACTAGCCCCTCGCTAGAAGAGAACGCTACAGCCCTAGGCCAGGAGATCACTAGTATCCTCAGCTGGGGAACAGAAAATAAAGTCGCCTTTAACCCAGCTAAGTGTGAGGCAATCCACTTCAGCAGAAAACATCAACAGACAACAGACCTACCAGATATCCAACCCAGAGGCCTAACTATCAAGGCCTCAATAAAGCCTATAAGATGGTTAGGGGTCTGGTTTGATAGGAGACTCACCTTCCAACACCATATAGGAATAAAGGTAGCAGCAGCAAAGAAGGTAGCCTATTTCCTACAGCACCTTACAAACACAAAAGGGGGGCTCCCAGCAGCTGCAGTTCGAAAAGCAGCTATTGCTTGCGCCCTCCCAATAGCCCTATATGGAGCTGAGACCTGGTATGCAGGCTTGACCAGACCAGCCCTGAACAGCAGCACCAGTATAGTCGGCACAGGACAGAAGGGTTTAGCCTGTAGAGTCGGAAGAGTTATTACAGCAGCAGCAAGGGCTATCCTACCTGTCTGGAGGACCACACCAACCAGTGCCCTCATCCGAGATGCTGGCCTACCAACAGCAGAGGTGGCCCTTGAGGCAGCGCGACTACGCTTCGCTACACGCCTACAGAAGGTTGACCAACAACATCCCTTGGTCCCAAGGCTTCTACAGCCAGGGCGGCAGCAGACCAGGCTCCAAAGAACAGCTGGCCTCTTACCTAGGTGCCCAAGGCCAGCACTCCTACAGCCGCAATACCCCCTAGGGTCTCACCACCCTATAGTCACACAGACGAAGGAAGCAGCAGCAAGGATCTTCCAGGCCTGGCTTAAGACTGTGCCAGATAAGCATACTATTATCTACTCAGACGGCTCTAAGGCCCCTGATGGCGCTACAGGGTTTGGCTTTGTTATATACCGTAAGAACAAACGTATAGCCCAGGGCTGCGGCCGCCTCAGCTTAGCAGAAGTGTTTGATGGGGAGGCTGAGGGGGCGAGGGCAGGGCTCCGACGGGCCCTCCTTACCTCCCAGGGCCAGCCTATACATATCTGTATCGATAATACCAGCGTTATCCAGGGGATCCGAGGCAGGGTCCCAGACTCCTCACAAGCGGCCTTCCTTGAGATCCAAGAGGCAGCTAGGACGTATGACATACGAACCCATTGGTCCCCAGGGCATGAAGGCATCAAAGGGAACGAGGAAGCAGACAGCCTAGCCAAGGAGGGCACAACCATGCCAGCCCCTAGGGGCCAACTAGCCACCCTGTCAGGGATCAAACGGCTAGCTAGAGAACGTATATGCCGCCAGTATAGAAAATGGTGGAAGCAAGATGCAACACCCCGCTATACCCAACTAGGGCTTAAGGCTTCCCTTGCCTGCCCCCCTGAACTAGCCCTGCCACGGGCTATACTCCATCATCTCCTAGCAGCCCGGTCAGGCCATGGAGACTTCGAACAATACCATCAACGCTTTAACCATACAGAAGCACTGCTTACCTGCTCCTGTGGGGAGGCAAAGGAGGCAGACCACCTAGTCTACTGCCGAAAGACCTTAGCGAGGAGGCTTCAGTGGCCCACCCTCCACCCCTCTAGTCCACAGGAGCCTATAGGACCAATAGGATCTCTGGATCGATACTACAAGGGGCTAATCACTGATCATGAAGGCTTCCAGGCCTTTCTCTGCGTGACAGATTTCTTCCGGAAGATCTGCCCGCGGTACTAGGGCCTAGGTCTGAACCTAGGCCTTAGTAACGAACCCCCCCCCCCTCGTAGAGGAACTGACGAGTATAACGGAACCAGGGAACCAGCGGGAACTAGGGACGGATAGAACACATAGTAGCCTATGGGCAAGATTTGGAGGACGTTAGGAAGAGGCGTGTACTGTAGAGTATATAGCTTGAGCCTGCGGCCCTCCACGCCATATACCCCTCGGGAGGTCGGCCGCAAGGGCGGCTGCGCCCTTGCCGCCACGGCGTTAAATACAACAACAACAACAACAACAACAACACTGCGATAGACGCAGCTGAGACGAAACGCAACGGTTGTTCGGTCTGTTTCCAAACGGACGATATCTGGATTGAGCTGCAATGGGCGGCGAATGCTAGCAAGATGGTGGCTTTAATGCGACAGATAGGGAAGAAGGGTGGAAGAAATTATTAACAAGATATGGGGAGGAAGAAGGGCACGTGGTTACTCCATGAACGAGGGTACTGAGATTGGAAAGGCAAAAATGAATGCAGTTTGAGGGTAGTGTTCCCAGACTGAAAAGTGCAAACGTCATGTTCAGCGACGGTAGAATAAATAAGCCAGAAGTAGCGATCAGGCTTAGCATGCTTCTGGGTATTATTGACGTGTCTTTTGCTGCAAATCTGTATAGGTGTAAGACTGTGGTAGGGAGTGAGGACGTCGTATGAGTGTAGATCGGTTTCTACCGATTTCATTGGCCACGAAATGGTGTGAATGGTATCACGACCCACCGCAGCTACATAAGGTTCTTATCCGGTTAAGGTGTCGGCTCCTTCGGGAACAGAACGGTGTCGGGAGTTGTTTGATTGAGTGGGTTTCGAAAACCGTACGTGACGAATGAAAATGGTTAAAAGGAGCGGCTGCGGCTGAGACGTTGGAGATTGTGAACAT